AGCGGACTGGATTCTCTGGCAATGCTGCGACCAACTATCTCATCTGAAGAGCAGGGAATTAGGGCGCAGAGATAACGGTTCTGGATCCTACAATACGAATATTGAGCAGCCGATGCCTTCCAGAAATTACCCCCAAAGTACGTCGCAAGGAAAATCTACAGCCAACGAACCGTACCAAAATGTATACATTCAATCAGGCAATACAGATACGCGAGGTATATTGCCTCGAAGCATCGTATTTCAGCCAGCGAATTCGGCGACGGTAGCACGACCGAACATTACTGGAAGCGAGCAGGGGTGTCAGCGGCAGCTTGGAGAGCGCAGGAATCCGTTACCCCCGACATTCCCGCCCTCTCCAAATCCTATGTCTGATGGCTTCGGTTCGAATAACGCGAGACAAGAATTTGTACCTCAGGCTGCCCCTCACAATTTAGACTTCAACTGCTTTGATAGTGCAATGGAAGCCTTCGCCTGTCGGGTCGTCCCCCACGGTTCGGACTTCAACGACGTTGGTAATGTAAACGACGAAATGCAGCTGTTCGCATCTCAGGACGCAGTCGCTCTCGTGTCGGGCTTTGAAAATTTTGGCAGTGCAAACTATGAAATGCAGCAGTTCGCATCTCAAGGCGCGAATCTCTATGTTTCGGACAGTACAGCGTAATCCAAAGTTTATGTTTGGTTTAATAATAAAAAATTTCTAACTTAATACAATCCCTACAATGCAAGATGGTAACCCATGGTTGCTCATACAATCCCATCCATGACCAACGCTGCGAGCTTGCCGTCATCCGGAATCTCAACAAAACATTCGCTCAAAATATGGTAGATATGGTCCGTATCTACTACTTGCCCTCCAACTTTTACCATGCCAGATACATAAAGAGGTATCACAATTGTGAATGTATTTCCAATATCTGCCTTTCCTGGCAAAAACACAAGTCCTCCCGGTCTGTATTTTGATATCGTTTTTAGTTGATGGGCTGTGGAAGATGTGGCCTGACATAAATGTTAGCCCGCGTGTTATAATCCATAACGAACAGGACTCACCATTTGTGGGTAATTATTAATCACAGCTTGTATTAGGGATATAGCAAGCATAAGTTTGGTAGAAAGGCCGTGACTACGCCCCTCCGAGGCTTTGGGAGAGAGTTGACAACAGGCTTGCTCTCGTTCCAAGCCTCTTCTCTTTTTGCCTCAAAATCGGTGGACAAGAAGGTATAACGGGCACACTCGCCTGGCACCATCCCGGGCTTTACTG